TACTAAAAAAAAAAAAAAAAAAAAGAAAGAAAAACATTTGATTCATGCTTTCTACTATGTGCAAATACAAAAGTGCCAAGTGTCTCATTTTAAAACTACTATAAACAATGAGCATTTTTGTTTTTAATGGAAATTTCCCTTACAACTGGCAAAGTTATACAAATGACCATTTACAATTGAAATTAAAATACCTACAACACTCATAGACAACAGTGTATATCTGCTGACTGCTACCAGAACACTGTACTAACAGGCATTTACAAAATCATGTTTTAATTTTATTTTCTTTGTGTGTGTGTGTGTGTGTGTGTGTGTGTGTGTGTGTGTAACTGGGGATTGGACTCAGTCCCCTGTGCTTGCCAAGGAAGTGCTTATTCTACTGAGCCATCTCCCCAGCCCCTAAAATCATGTTTTGATGAAATACCACATTAATGAAATTTAACCAAACACTTAAGCAAAACTATGTGAACCTAAAAGATTCACATACCTTCATAGCCTTCTTCTTCTCTGTTTAGTGAAGCCCTGGCATCTCCAGAGCCTTCTGCCTGTCTCTGGCCTACATCAGCCAGGTCTCCACAGTCCTCTCTCTCTCTGTTTAATACAACAGAGGCATCTCCACATATCACATCTAGAAAGAAGTCTACAGGGTTGTTGTAGGGCTCGCAGTGGTAACCAGAGTGAGAAGACAACACAAGAAAACAAACTTGGTGGTCTTGGAACACAGAGGACTTACAGAGGGGATGGGAGGGGAGGCGAGGGAAGACAGAATCTAACAACTTCTCCCTCTTCTTCTTGCTCTTCTGCCCTTACTAATTTATCCTTTCCTTTTACATCATAAGTCACATGACACTAAAACAATTATCTGTGCTCCCCCAATATATATGTCATGATTACTGTACTAGTCTGAACATCTTTTTTTTTTCTTTTTGGATTTTAGGGAAGAATCTACAAGGTGTTCAGGGTCTCACTACTAGATCAGACTCATAGTGATCCTCCTGTTTCCAGTCTCCCAAGAGCTGGGATTACAGACACGCACCACAATGGCAATTATGCCATCTCAGGGCACCCTAGAGGAGGGTACAGCATGGCAGGCCTGGGGATCGAACCCCCAGCCCCTACACCTGCTTGCAGGTGCTTTAATCTGCTGAACTATTTTGGCCGGCCCCTCTGAACATCTTTTAACTATCCTTAACTTTTGTAAGTTATAAAGCCCAAAGAGCTATCAATATGTTCTGGTGCTTGTTAGTACTATATGAAGCATGGTTACAGGAGAATATCCAATGCCTGGGTACACTGTGCTGAGTTCCCCTTTCTGAGTTCCTCTGTGTTCTCTGAAATGTGAAAACAACAGCGCACATGTCAGTAATGATTTCTTCTATATCTACTAAGTCCAGAGTTCCAAATT